ATTATGATATCATATCAACTTATATGATATATTATACTATATCATATTATATTATATCATATTATAATATAATACTATATTATATTATATTTTGTCATATTAAATCATAAATGTATTAAGTTATTAATGTTATTAATTACTGATCTGCATTTCCACGGCTCGTCTCAACCAACTATCCGCATGCAATGAGGGTCAAGACAACCATTTCAACATGGATGGTGGGACTGTCAATGTGCCCCCAATAACTTGACCATTCCATTCCACTGTTTAATCAGCATGTTAAAATGCATTAAAACAAAACACGGTATCACATGCCATATATGCCATATATGCCATATATGCCATATATGCCATATATGCCATATATGCCATATACAGCTAGTATACCATGCTATACCACGCTATACTTCCAAGTTTCTCCAAGTTTCTGAGATAGATTCACAATATGTTTACCCTAAACCAGACATAGTTTACCCCGTTGTCGGGGCCGAAGCGCCTTTGCCCTCCGCAGTGGAGGCCACAACCAGGCCAACGATCAAGCCGTAGAGACCCAAGGCCTACGGTTGGGATGATGACATGACCCCAATATATGGAACATAAAAAAAAGGTTCCAAGCCACCAACCAGATATAGTTAGATATAATTAATCTGAAATATATCATGGCCATATAATGAGAATTAGTGAGAGTTGTTATTTATCAAGTGGGATATTCCCAACAGAGTCTGCCAACAGTTGGTGAATCCATGTCATAATCCCATAATTGTCGATGCTATCCGAACAATTATTTCCACAAAAAATAATGGAATTAATATACATATATCTGGGTAAATTATAGTATTTCACCAAGCTGAATTAAGGCCATTTGGGGATGATTTCCCTTATTAACCATGATTCCAGTGAGGTCGCAGTGAGGTCGCAGTGAGGTCGTTATAATTTACCCATATATATATACACATACATACTGGTTGGTTCAGAATCAGGACACAACATTTTTCCGGATTCTGAGATTCCCCTAACGATCAACCAGCAGCAACCTACTGGTTGGTGCTTTTAACCATCTTGAAAAATGATGGAGTTCGTCAATGGGAAGGATGACATCCCTTTTTTATGAAATGGAAAAATATGTTTGAAACCACCAGCAACCTATCATTGGGGAACTTTACCGGAGCAAACTAAAAGAAGGGATGTTGCGACCTGCCCTTCGCTCAGCTTTTGCAGAGGAGCATGAATGGCGGTGGCGGGATGGGACCGTGGGCTCTTGAAGTCGATCCCATTAAATTGTTGCATGGGCCATTATATCATATTATTATCATATTATATCAACTATATCAATCAGCTATATCCCATAGTTGTTGATTGATTGATTGATTGATTGATTGATTGATTAATTGATTGATTGGTGTTATATTGTATCAATCGACTATATCCAGGTTATAACAATTCCCACTATATGGCCATATCAACTCGCATCGGCAGAGGTGCATGTTGAATGTGGAAAGAAATAGGTTTGCATTGCACAAGCCTTCGAAGCAATACGTTAGGTACGTGAACAACCAAAGTCCACCACACATGAATCAGACCGCAGTGGGCCCAAGGCAGCCCTAGATATTCATGTCTCGCTTTTCTCATTTGCTGGATTGCATCTGCATGTCATTATCTCTTTCTCATTATTTCTATGGCTTGTACCGGAGTACTTCAATTGTTATAGTTGAGGGTTTAGGTCCTAAGGCGCAAGGCGTCGCGGTATTCAGTAGTTTTTTGTGGCTCTCCATGCCCACTTGTCCGTGCTGCGAAAAAAATCGCCTGCTGGAGCCCCAGAATGCAAGGAGTTGATCCCTTTTCTGGCACCATTCAGCTGGCCGGCATATTGCATGGGCCCTTTGGAGATGTCTCCAACTGGTGTCCTTTGCAGGTATAGCATCAAGCTGTGAGGGTTTCTACCTGGGAATTGCATGATTTTCCTGGGCATCGTCTTTTTCCAACGTCGAAGTACGGCCGGGACAGTCCCACAATGGGAATCCTTGTAACGGGACAATCCAACTTTTGATGGCACAATATGGATTTGTCTGCAACTAGGGTACCCCGAAATCTACTGCCTAATCACTGGTTAATCATCATTATCCTATATTTTATAGTAGCCATGTCTGGAGTCTACTATCTTGAAACTCGAAACATATTCATACGTATATAATATATATCTATATATGTATGAATCAAGGGCGCTGAGCATGTATATATATATATAATAATTAGTATTAATATCAATTATTATTACTACTATTATTATTTAATATAATATATATAATACATACGTACATATAATAGTAAATCATAGTACATCGCTATTTACTATGGTATTTTTTTTTCTTCCGGTGCCTTTTTGTTGATATGTTCCAGCTGCTCTGCCTCGGCGAAGATCAAGATGAGGATCATCCCTACGAAGAGTCGTGGCTGCTGGGCATTGGCGCGGACACCAGCGTCACCCACGATGCCAATGGCAAGTCCTGCCACGGCCACGGCGCCATGGCGCACTGGTCAAAGGGAGACGGCAGTGCCAAAGGGGGTAGGATCTAACTGCGATGTAACTGAGGGATTTATCATGGAGAGTTTCAACAAGGAAATTCCAATCCAATTCACCAATGCACTTGGAAAGGGGTAAAACTGAAGTTCCAAAGGGGGGAATTGGATTTTAATATATTTTAATTGGAATTCTTGGGGATTCAATGGGATTTAACCAACCAAATATGACCGCAATGGGATTTAATCAAATAAATGAATTCAAAGGGGGGTTGTGATTGATGATTGCACTTAAGGTGGCTATCAGCAACAACTATAGATAGTAATAGTAAGTGTCTGAAAATGTGGCATGGAGCTTATGTAATAGAATATATAATATCACCAACAATGTGGGGTAGTTGGGTCTGTCTGACATGGATATTATTATATATGTATGTATGTTTCGAGTTTAGCTGGTTAGCAAAGATTGCAATGACCCTGTAGAGAAACACGTAAAAACATAGATGTGGTGTTTACCCACCAATTTGTACTACTGGTAATTGTAGAGTTCATTTTCCCAAAGGGATTTCCCCGTGGGTTTTCCACATCTAAACGGCCAGGAGGGGCCCATCCACTTGGTTTACACTGGGGTCCTGCCGCAAGGGAGCTCATGCCGACTGTGAGACCTGGAATCGCTGGGATCAGAAACAGCATCCATGACGACTGGATGATGTCGGGGTTTAATCCGTTTTAGGAAACCTCCATATACCCAGATGCTCCATGTGTGGAATATTCACCTACATATGGTTGATTTTTTGGGGTAAATGTAGGTAAATATTCCATACATGGAGCATCTGGGATATACCATGATATACCAATGATATACCATGAAACGTCATTGTTTAAAGTTGATATACCATGATATACCCATTCATATGTTGGGCAAGCGATGTTGACCCACACATGGTTTCCACGCCGGCAACCAATTGGACTCTTCAAGAGGAGATCTCTCCACTGGTGCCGCACTACTCCAGGAATAATGTCAGCAATCCTTGGGTCAAATTACGAAAATAAATGAAAATAACATATATGATATCGATGAATTCTGATAATTCAGCAAGCCGAATAGTGTCATTTTGGAGTGAAATAACAATAATAATAATAATCATCATCATCATCGTCATCGTCAACATCAAAAAAATGTAAGAGATATGTCTTGATCATTCAACCACCAACATCTGCCTGACCCAACCTGCTCCCAAGTGAGCATAGCCAGAGTAGGCAGAGTAGTTTGCTGCATCCATCTTGCCATTGATGATCACCTGGGTCGTCATTCTTGGTGCAGTTGGGTTTATTACTGGCTATAATCAAATCTTATAGTGTTATAAGTTATAAGCCCTACAAGTTGGGATATGGATGGATATGGGGTGGGGCCTTTGCAATTGTGGTTATATGATGTTATATGTTTGCTTCTTACTCAAGTGGAACTGCACCTAAACCAGAAGTCCCTCAAAAAAACAAAGCGAACCAAATGAACCACATGCTGCAAGTGTTCCCAAGTGTTCCATGATTTTCGGATCGTTTTTGTTGGATCTGAATGTGGTCTTAACCTTGAGCCCAGTTCGTGTTGCCGACAGACACTTCTGCAGACCCTGTGGCCCCCCACCGCAGTGATCAATCCGTAGATTCCCAGAACTCCTGCCTCAGTCCACCATAAATCCAACAGCGATTCAACTGTCCATAGGAACAACAAAAACTATATAGTATCTATATGGGTATGGGTCAATACCTATAGATACATTTTTAGGCGGATGAACATCTATTTACCAGCTATTTTGGGGTTCACTAGGTACCAGGGTTTTGACCCATCCCCATATAGTTGTTTGTGCCTGTACACCAACTTACTGTGTTTAAATACGACTATCAAAATATAATCCTGATGATTTGTACTTTCGTGCTACTGATTCAACTTACCTATCATGGAATTGATATGACTCACCATTTTTGGTGAAACCCAGCACGACACCGTCGTAGCCGCGAATAAAAAGGCCAGGTTGCCATGACAACAGGGATGATAGACCTCGCAAGTAGTTGCAAGGCGGGATTATATCAGCAAATCATGGTGGTTTCGATAATTAATGGGATTTTCAACCATATACCATTAATGGGATTGAATTATATAATGGGACTTTTCTTAGCCAAGTTGGTGATTTAACTGCCCCCCATCATCATCACAGGATGGATGGATTTGTCCAATGCTTAGGAAGGTTGCAACTGGAATGCACATCCTACACTTCCGCTTTTCAGTCCAAGGGGAAAACCCATGGGTACCCCCAAAATCCACTTTCAGACTGAGGGATGTAAGAAAAAATATGTCGGTTTCGAAGACCTAGAAGACAATAAAAGACCCGCCTTCACTGGAGAAAAAACCTCTCCAACCTTACCCAGATTCTAAGAAACACAACACATATTGTACTTCAGAACCCATATTAAGCCTACAGATTTCCCCAAAACATAGGGGTGCCATTAAAAAAAAAACAGTATATTTTCAAAACATATTAGAACATCATGTTCCTTATGATTGAAACTCTAGGGGTATACCATCCATGTCCCAAGAAGTTGGTAAGGACCCACCCGAAATACACCGGTGGCTGAGGTGCTTCATGATCATATCAGGTCGCATCACCTCAGAGCGGTTTTGCGGGGGCACCATGGAGTTGTTTCGGTCACCCAGTCTCGGGGTTTCGACATAGTCCTTAAAGCCTTAGGGCTAAACCGTTTTTTGCGTAGAGTCCGCAAGGTGATGCCCCTAGTTAGCTTAGTTTGGTGCTATTGTGAGTCTTGAGAGTAATGTAACTAGGGTTTACGGCAGATATAGTTCATATGGAATAGGATCTAAGGGTTCCATCCCATCCGTTCACAAAAAAGAAAGCATCCAAATAGTCCCAGTCATATGTGGTTATTCCCTTACTTACTATCATGGCTTATAGGGTGTGTTTAATATTAAGGGGGGATTGATTATACAACCTGCAGGCCAGAGAAAAGTTCTGCGTAGATCTATTTTATAGTTTATCTGATAATGTCGGATCTCTGGTCTCTACAAAACTGTTATATATTGGTCGGCCACGAAAGCAGCTGTGTCCTTCTACAATGGTACATAGGAATCGCACATTTACGTGTTTCTCTAACTTGATCTAGCTATTTCACATTGAGAAATTTAATGTGTTTTTTTTCTCCAGATATGGCTGGATTTTTTTAATATCCCTGGGATCTTCGTTTTCACATACCAACATGGAACAGAATAAATGATGCGATGGGATGCGAACAACTGGAACAACCACGCAGTTCTGTCAGTATGTACTGTGCATTTGATAGCAACAATTGACACATCCTCAACAGTTTCGAAAAAAAAAAGAATCATTACTTGGATTTACTTGGGTGTTTCTAAAATGTGTGCTGGCCCTTTTCAATCCTTTTCACACGTGTTTTTGCCATTAAACATTACCATCCCACCGAGATGCTCTGTGCTGACAATACGGTTACAGGTTGGTTTAAAACGGTTGGTAAATCTCCATATTCCTGGCATTTCATGGCAACATATTGAAGTGATCACCAGGGTACCAATAGACATATCATGAGATATCCGTCAGCTTAGCCATGCGTTAAATCCTGCCACTTCATAGCCTGGTTCACCTCAAAAGTCGTGTTTCTGGCTTAGTTCACCTCACAACTGGATTAATCTTACCCTGCTGCACAAACTGGGGTGAACCACCAAGAATATATATATAATTATATATATAATTATATATATATATATAATTATATATATATAATTATATATATATAATTATATATATATAATTATATATATATATTTATATCAAAGGGCCCTCCTCTTCCAATTTGGTTTATAATTTCAGTTTGCTATACTATATACCCATTAAATCCATGGATCAATCCCATTGAATCACCATGGCTTTGCTGCGAAAATCTCCGTCTTTAGCAGCTATCAACCAACTTACGTATCATAAATCACCATACATCACAAGTCAATCCCGATTTTCTTGGCAAAATCATGTAAAATATCCATCTTCCCCATATTTTAGATGCGTCAATCCCGTAGGAAATCACCATATTTTTCCCAGTGAAATCGCCATTTGCGCCGCCGAGCCACGCCCATGGATGCGATGCCCACCCCCGACTTGGCGGTGCCATAGGCTGCGCCCAGGTTCGCGAAGACCAGGGCCGAAGTGACGCCCATGAAACTGAGCGCCGCCGCTGGTGGCAAGTGGTGGACATAGGCTGCTGATCTAGTCAATGGATTGGTTAAGGGAAAATCTACAGGAAACCATGGTGTTTACCATCAAGTATAGGGGTTTCCTGTAAATTTTCCCATCATCCAATTCTGTGATCTAGTGGTGTTTTTTTTGGGATTCATATCGGATAGAACGATGAATAGTGTTTTTAGTGATGATCTATGATACATATTTACAATTCTACAACTGGTTGGTGGTGCAGTAACCATCTTGAAAAATATGAGTTCGTCAATGGGAAGGATGACATCCCATATATGAAATGGAAAGTCATAAAGGTCATGTTCCAAACCACCAACCAGCCATATAGTTAGATATAATCTGATATATATATATATATAATGGCCATATAATCTGATATGCTATATATATATATATATATGTATACATGTATACTACTTGGGGATGCAGGCCAGCGGTGATTCATTGTGGCTGTAGCGATGGTCTAAAAGAGGAGTCTCCAGTTGGAAAATTCAACCTCTACAACTATATGGAATTATAAAGCTAAAGGAAGTGAACATGTTTGTTATCATAATGTAAAGAGTAATGAATTAATGAGTAAAAATATGTAAGAATTATAACTGTTATAATTCGGAATGATTAATCACTGTGGCCATACGGTTCACATAATACCAATACTAGTAGTAATACTAATTTTGTGAAATACTGATATTATCAATAGTGATAGTAATACTATTTCCAATACTGATATTATCAATACTGATATTATCAATACTGATAGTAAGATCATAATAGTAACACAATATCCATAGAAATACTAGTAGTAAATAATATCAATACTGATGTGATTTGGAAACTTTTACTATTTCCAACTGGCTCCCCATGAGATATCCGTAGCTCCACAACTACCTGCTAAGCACCGGGTAGTTGTGTCAATACCATACTGATGATGGAATCTAGCAATTAGAATTGAACATGTTTGTTATTATGATGAAAATATATGAAAATCATCTATGTAGAATGATTTTTTTTTAAAATACACGTTTTGATGATCAATCGCTATATCTATGTAGTTCACATAACATCAATACATTACTATGCTGAATTCACCAAAACTGATATACACCAAGTGTTAGTGTATTTTTTTTTTTTTTTAATATAATCATCACAAATACAAGCTGATATGTTCATCATTATACTTATGCCAATAATGGTTGTTGTGACTAACTTGTATGTATATATATATATATACACATAAACTATTAATAATTATCACAAATAAGCACGATATTCATTTCAAAAACTAACATGTTTGGTTCATATCAATGGGAATTGGTTGTAGTTTCATTAAAATTGGTCAATGGTGGTTATTTACTGGTTATACACTATATAGCTATATAGAGGTGCAAGAAGTGAACCTGTTCGTTACAATGAATTTCCCCTGAACCTGGGATAATCATGAGAATTTTACGGGTATGTATACCAAACCAACAGCACAAACACATATGTTATATATGTATATTTTTATAATGATTATGTTTGATTATGTAAGTATTTACGATCGTTAATGGTAGAATAACATACCATGGCTATGTACGTATTGATTTTTTGGTTGTATATTGATGACATGTTGGTGAATAATGTTTATATAATTATATATGTTTAAATAATGGTCATCTACAGTAGTGGTTTTATAGCGATTAATAATGGTTAATAAGTGTTATATCATGATTGCAGTTTGGTAAATAATGGATTGATATACAATGATAAAATGCTTAATAATGGCTATATAATGATTACCCGCAGAACCTAACGTTCGCCCAAAATGACATAATATGTCCCAGTCTTTTTTTCCACGGTTTTAACACATGTTTCATCCACGGTTCCAACCACCTTGCAGGGATGGACGGTACAGAAAATGTGCGGCCTCTCGCCACGAAAACACAGGTTCCGGGAAAACGTCGGGTTGGTTATGAATCAACTACAAGTATGTGGTTCTACAATGCTTATATCTTAGTTATTAATATGTTGGTTCTAGATTAGATTAATTGTACATACCTGTATGTTTCTAGGCACTTTATATATATATATATATATTATATTTAGACAAAGATACACATACACTGGCCCCAAAAAGGGCCCCTCCTCTGGTCAATTAAGTCCATTGACATGTTGGGCTGCTTACCCCCTAAACAGAACATGGGATGACATGGCCACATAGCCAACACAAATCCATTAAGTTGGTTCATTTGCATAGGCCAACCGTTGGATTTATGGTGGATATACATCATGATATGTGTATAATATAATATAAATATATATATATATTATAAATATAATATATATTATAAATATAATATATATAATATAATATAATATATATATATATTATATATGTATATATTATACGCACGGTATCATATGCAGTCGGGTAGTTTTTCTTTTTTTATGCTTGGGAGCTGCAGTTGCTACTGTATAATCACGAGAAGGTGCGCAGCTGCGCAGCTGAGTCACCCGAAGAAAGCGGAAGATGGATCGCATTGCCTCAGTGATATGATCTGGTTTGCGGGCTGGGGAATAGATATATAGAAACAAAAATATATAGAAAAGTAAAATCCCAGTAAAATAGTGGTGGGTTACCTTTCTAGCTTTTTGGTGGTGACTATAAATTAACATAAATCAATATTCTGGATGAAAGCATTGTAAATCGACATAGCTCAACAATCAATCTATATATATATATATATGTAAATCAGTTGGATTAATCAGTACGAATCAGGATGGAGGGGGCAGAATTGAAACCACCTTGCACCGCATCCTGGGCCTTGCCGGAGATCCCTCTGTCGTCCCTCGATGCTTGGTGAGGTGAGGATGTCCCCTTATTCTGATTATCCCCAATATATTGGATAGCAGAAGCCCATAATAATTCATGATCAAGCAGCAGGGGTTCTGAGAACTGCTCAATTTGTGCCCCTACGCAAAATGGTCGGTTCGGTTTGGTAATTGAGTTTTTGTCTTGGAAGAAACATCATGGACATCTTTAGAAACCTCCAATCCAACAAGAGGCCAATCAGCTGGAGACTTACAAAATAAATGAAAAATGAAAACTGAAGAAACATGGATTTCTCTCCAAATAGAATACCCTTAGATTTGATGCTTGCTTACCATCATTGACCCCACTCAACTTGCCAACATATCTTGGGGCGGATCCCCTTGCGTTCGGACCCTTGTGTATCGATTGATCCATACCCCGTACCATCAGCTTTGTGTCGGTTGCAACTCCAGTTGAGCATAGACCAGTTGACGCAGCTAGTATATGCTAGTATGTCATGGCCATACCCTGCAAACAGTTTTGGTAGCTGGATAGTGTGTGAATATGCATGTATATACATATATATATATTATACATAATCCCTTTAGCGAGAAAGAGATTCCAAATTTCCAGCTTCCCAAAGTGCTTCATTGGTACCTCCACGGACTTGGCCCTCCACCCTCCGCCATTATGTCTGTCCAAGCGGCATCATCGTACTGCTGGGTCTTCAATCTTCCTCCGAGTGCGGGCCCGATTACACTTTTGTCCCCCTAGGGGCCACACATGCACATATGCCTCATAATTCAAAGTGCGGGTATATTCACATATTTCCACAACAATCGACATGTTCTACCAATGACCAACATGTGTTCCCTGGTTGCAAGTAACATGGGAACCTGTGTGGCCGTCAAGCAAATGAAAAATAATATGTGGGTATGAAACTTGGAAATGCTGCCCCCATGAGTCGTAAATGTGGATTCATCCATAGGCCAAATTTGATAGATGGATCATCAACACAGGTCAAATGATCACATGTTTCAGGACAAAAAAACACATAAATCCGTGGATGCGTTATCCCTTTTATTTGATCTGAGAAAATCTGAGTCGCAAATTGGGCGCATCATGTTAGATATCAAGAGCTGTAGTCACCTGTGTTGTTAGAGAATAGTAATTGATACGATCGGGTAAAAAAATCTTGGTGTTCTGTTACGCGATTCATCCACCTGTGACCCAACACCTGCTCTGGATCCTCATAAAATTCTGTGCTGAGCTGAAGCATGAGATATAACATATTAAGATCGCAAACTATTGATCTGAAAGAATAGCACCAGTATACTGTTCTAGGATACCGAGAAGTGCAACTGGTGAATAACTATAGGCCATGAGCCACCTTGTAAATTCGACAACTCCTCAATACTCAACCACTTCTCAAAAAACATCCAAGCAGTTCCTGTCGGGTCTGGCCAAGGTTCGTCCGCGGGTCGTTTGTGGTTGTCCCAGCGATTAGTCAACAGGAAACAGCTGCGGATGCAGGGCAGAGTTGACAAGACCACTGAAATATTGCCTGGAACCCACATGACCCTTTGCTGACAGGTTCTTATCATTTTTTATCCGTAAAATTGGGACAAGATGCCAAAAAAACCTCCAAACATAATCCAATCAAGTGTGAGTTTTTGGTATTTTCAGCTGTAGATCCACGCTGGGTGGACTGGAGGATTGTACAAAATATAGGTAAAACTTTGACAGATATGGTGACATGGTGGAGTAAAGTTATCTGATTCCCTCCAAATCACCACTTCTGAAGTTCATCAACCTCTTCCTGGTTTTGATCCATCCAGATTTTGGTTGGTAGCCAGATCCCCATGTTTGGTAAGCTACATCTGCAATATCCACCATGTTACTTGAGACGTCATCTGCAATATCCACAATCATTATTGCCGATTTTTCATTTCCCCCCCCCAAAATCGAGATAGAGAAAAACCATTTTAAATTCAAAAACAAATTATCGATCATATGGTCCGGGGAACTCTTAGTAGTAGTCCCCAAGCTCCCAGTTCCATAGGGAATATGGGTACACCGCTCCGAACAGCTCCCTCCCAATCACCACATAGCTATACTTGGCGGTACACTTGGACTTGTGAATAGGTATAGCGGTATAACGATGGTGATAATATGATAAACCTCCATAAGTTCGGAATATAGTCCCTGCAACTATGGTGAAATCTAACCCACTTACTCTCTGGTAAACTAACAAAACTATAGAAAATCACCAGTTTTAACAGGCAAATCAACTATTTTTATGGCCATTCTCAATACTTATGTTAGTTTACCAGAGGGTAATGGAACTGCACCCCCAAGTACCCTTCTCCGCGATGATTTCCGCCGCGCCACCTTTCGCTCCGTTTTTTTTCACCGGTCGAAGTCCCAGCGTCTTTTCGTTCGTGCCTTCATCATATGCCAGCGGGAAGGCGGCTGACCTCAGCAACCCTTTTTAATGTTTGGATGGGCCGGTGAAAATCATGTTGTTTTCTCTTTTTTGGGGATGACCTGTTTATGATAGAAACATGTTTGTTGGAAAAAAGGCCCATATGTGTGTATATATATATATAGGTGTGATTATCAAAGGAAGTTTGAAGGAACTTCCATGTTGCGGACATTTATGATGGCCAAGAATGTAAGAATGAAGGAATGAATTGAATGAATTGAATGAATTGACTTGAATGAATTGAATTGAATTGAATTGAGTTGAGTTGAATTGTTGAATTCACTTGAATTGAATTGCCTTGAATTTGAGTTGAACTGACTTGAATTGAATTGAATGAATGAATTTGAAAAGGAAGTCTCGCACGAACGCTTCGTTTTCACATCTTCCACTTTCAGATTTTGAGGGAAGTCTCGCACAAAATGCGTTTTTGAGAGTTAGCAGTTGCATGGCATGCTGTGTTTTGCCGGACAAAACGTGTGGGATGCAGTGAGCAATTTCCAAGGGAAGCTGCGATGCGATGAGATCAGATGAAATTAGAAAAGATACAAAATTCAAAAGACATGGCATCAGATTGAAAGTCGAGAGCTTGTTGCTGCGAAGCACGGGAGTCTTGTCTGTCACCTGTAGGCACAGCCTTTGCTCTGCCCTATAGGCTATAAGCGTTTCAAATTTGAAACTTCCGCCCCCGGCTTGCCCCGGTACTACTTGTATATGATACGCATATCTATGTGCCTATATGCTGTATCAACACATGGGAATGGGTCAAGTCGGTGCACTCTGTCCTTAGGTTTGTCCCAGCTCCACCAGAGCTAAGGTTCATGACAATGGTGGTCACCACATTAATTGATATTTGATGTCGGCGTGAATCAGGTGTGGTTTTAAACAAATGTTGTGATTATGAAATATTGTTTAAATATATATATATATACATGTTATACAATATCTAAGCGAATAAGGTAAATGTGATTTAAACATACATTCATATGTGTATTTAACGAATTGATGATTCAATGTATAATTTCATCAAGAACGACAAGGTCTTTCAACAAGACCACTGAGGCTTGACCAAGAAATAGCCGGAGTATGTTGCTTCAACGAAGACAACATTTGGATTTAGCCGACATGGGGTGGGCAAACCTATGAGTTCATGGTTGCTGGGCATGTCTATATGTTTACTAGCTGTTTACAGTCCCGATGTGGGTATTGTAGCTGTCAAAACATTTTGTCATTAGTCAAACCGGCAAACTCACACCCTGATCCTCTGGCTTTCACATTCCCAAAACAGTAAGTAGTGTAGATGACATGCTGTTCACACAGCTTGGTTTGAAAATTAGCTACCCCTGAATTCACACCATCATCATGTTCCCTATTAGAATAGCCATCTTGTGGGTATACCACATGCAGTATACATAATATATATATATAACATGTACATGTAAATATATTCCATGTGTAAACAGACTTGCACATTTCAGGTGTGCTTGATCTGGATAAACAGCCCTGTCATTTCAGCTGTAGCTCAGTCCATACTACCGGTGCTACTGATCCTTTTGGATAACTGTCCAGCGCTCAATATCTAAGCAAATCAAACGAATCCATCATAAAATTTGTGTCAATAACCCCATTCATGGTCGCCAATATCTCCATACATTTGTTGGTAAATATTCACCATTACGAAAGTATTGTAAACACCGTCGTTACACCGTCGCTGGCGGGCGCACTCCCACAGTCCCCTCCTAAGTCTGCAGCAAATCATATGTACTCTCCCTGGCAGTCCAACCTGCACGCAGCAATCTGTGAAAAAGCCAAGTGTTGGTTAAGTCATCTTGGCACTTTGTCATGGCTGAGCATGTCAGCTGAACATGGTCGAGGGGGTAAATATCTCCGGAAACTAGCTATTCAAGACTCCATGTGAGTGGCCTCGACTCGTTTGTTAACGGCCCCAATATTTCTTGGCTAGTATACGCTAGTATAATCAATCAACTGTAGTTAATCATCGACCAACCATCATTTATCAGTCATATCCACTTATATCTCCATATTTTGATACGTTCCCCTATTAACTGACAATCATCAACCAATAGGGATACATCGCCTCGGCGCAGAGGTCTTCGACCATTTGTCGCATCTCCTGGCCCCAGTGAAACCGATGGCTCGGCTTTTGACCGTCTGAGCTACTCCAACTGCAATCTAAATGAGACCTCCATTTGTTGGTACCAGAATTGCAATTATAATTGTGTCCCATTCCATTGTGGTACCCAATTCACACGGAAAATCCAGTTGCAATTTGGGTGTGTTCCCTCTTAAGGGACCGATTCCCCATTTTTTAGCCTAGCAACATAATGGATCCTCATCCCCCTTGGTGTTTTTTTGGCACCCTTTTGGCCCCAAGGGTCAAGAAAATCCACAAATCAAGTGGGGCGATCCAATTTTAAGAGATTAACTGAAATTAATCTAATGGGATATTATCATTATTATTATTATTATTACTATTATTATTATTATCAGTATTGTCATTATTATTATATACGTATATAATCGTATATATACACTATAAATCATCAAAATATAAATGCTGGACTATAATATATATATATATATAAATAGATGATATTATGAATTGAGCACTTTAATGACATTGGTTTATAAGCCAAATCAACTGTATGTAAATATATATATAATTATATATATATATATAGACATCCACCATAGATCCAACACTTCAGCTGTAGATAAATCCACCATAAAACCCAACAGATATTGCAAGGTCATGTTTAATTTCAAAGCAATGTTGTCTATCTTCCCATTAATTCCGATGTGTATATATATATATACATAGATAGATAGATCCTGTTGTTCGCTGGTGAAACGCCCATGTCCAGTCCAACTCTCCTTGACATTTGTTGCTCAAAAAGAGAAACCCACCTAAAATCCATCCAAAAACCCAGTTCTTCGGTCGAAAAAAAAAAAGAAAACTCGAAACATCCAACAGTTTGTTGGGTTTTTCACCCATTGGCACTTTTCGCCATGGAAGCCATGTGCACCTTGTGGGTCTTGCCCTCGAACTTTGGCGAGCACATGATACCAATGAAGTGTTGGTCCCAGACCTCTGAAATCTCACGGAGACTTCGAAGCGGAACGGGACGAGACGTTGGTATCCGTGAAAACATCTTGGGGTTTCAATGATGGTTGCTGGGGAATACCTCAAGGGGGATATAATGGGAATATATATATATATATAATTGGGATATAATGGATGTAAGTAACACTAAGGTGACTTAGCCAGTAAGAATTGTGGATGCGTTTGTTTCCCAATCTATATATTTATGTGTTGATAGGAAACGCACCAACTGTTTCATGGGTATATCGTGGGATATAATGATCGATGCAAAATGGGATATAATATAACCAACAATGTGATTGCTTTAGTGAACATTTAGTAGGGCTTTACCCACGCATGTTGCTGTCTAACTTGGCACTTGACTATCATTGTGTGCGCAACCATGATGACAAAAACTAACTAACAGCCCTTGTCAAGGTGGCCCCCCTTTTTAAAGTTGATTTATAACTGGGTTAACTGTTGGGTTGGGGTTATCTCGAACTGTTTATAAACCAATGTTCACATCATTTGGGGAGTCCCACCTTGCAGAATATCCTGGATACTAGGATTACCCTCTGGTAAACTAGCATAACTATGGAAAATCACTATTTTTAATGGGTAAATCTACTATTTCTATGGCAATTTTCAATAGTTTTGTATGTTTACAAGAGGGTAACTCCGTTTCTGAGCCAGGGACATAGTTCCCAAAGGTGATGTCGTTCCTGCAGAACGTGGATGTAGGGATGAAAACACATATTTGGGTAAATGGTTGGGTTTCATATTAGACGGATGGACGGGATGAATAACGAGATGGCAATATGTTGCTCTTTATTTCCTGTTCAAGCACACTATTTACATATACATACTGTGGATGGAAGAAATCCTGCACCACCTTGGATGGTTGAAACCCTATAAATAATGGGATAAACCACCTATCAACTGGTGCAGGATTTCTTCCACCCACCGTATGTATTATTGGTTTGAGGAGTAGTAATTTATACCATACTTATTATCTTTGCATATCTTTGCTAAGTGCCTGAATTGCTAAGTGCCTGAAGTTTATATATCTAGAATTAGTGGTCTTAGACGGGCACCAACAGTCACAAAGTTTTTCCATTTGGCCATGATTGATACGGATCACATTGTATCACTACATGGCACCCCATTGGTTTTGAGCGTTTTAACAAGCTAATTGAACACCTCCTCCGGTGGCATCCCATAATCGCATTCCGAATGGCTAACCCCTCTGAAAACGGATTGATGACCATCAACTGATGGGAGAATACCTCATTATGTAACTTGAACATGGCAAACATATAGAATTAGGGATAATCATGTTCCAAAACTGCTACTTACTGCTACTTAGTTGATCCTAGTTGCAGTTCACATTACACACATCGCTGCTGGTTTGATCTCCCCAGGGTTACAACCATAGTTACATAGGGGCCCCTTTCCAACTTCTGGGAGTTATGACATCATGATCCAGTATTCATGAGTTAATCATGGTTAATCCCTATGATCGGCGCTTGACATCCCGCCCCATCAAATCCCACAAAAAACACAGTTGCTCACCCTAACTGCACCGCCAGTGACCTCAAGAAAAAATGTATTGGGACCAGCTTCACTGTGAGAACATGTCGCCTGGGCCAGCTGGGGCGGAAAATGATGCGAAAAATAGCAGTTACCCTCTGGTAAACGTGGCTGGCTGGAAAATCCCCTCAAAATGGAGGTTTATGGCTGGGAATTTTTGTATAACACTATCTATCTATCTATATATATATATATATATACATATTATAAATTAAATGAACGATTGTCAATTGCCACGATTGATTACCGGAGGGTACGTAGCAATCATTTCAGGGACATTATGATACATATCCCAGTTACATTTATTTCTAATTGTTGGAACGAGAACGAGACCGAGACCGACCCGGACAGGACCGACGCAAAAACACAAAGCAATAGAATTTCTTAGTTCTATTAAGCCCATGGTGCTTCGCAAACAGGAGAAGGAAAACTGTTGGGCATATAGGTTTTTTCAATAGAAACAGGCACAAGGGGACTTAAAGTACTCATCAGCTGGAAGACTCATCTGCGACACGTGCAAGCATTGGGATTTATATCATGTAGGTCAAGTGTGATGAAACCGAACCCATTTAATCGACACAAGTTTCTCAAAACAGTTCATTTTGAGGTTTGCAGCAGCAGAAAACAAGAAAAAAGCCCACAAAAAAACCTTCTCCCACGAAACTTCATAAGCTATGTGAGTTTACCAGAGGCTAATTATATCATATTTTTCAGCATTTAGGTGGCATTTAAGTATAGCTGTCCTTTTTTGGACATCATTCCTAGCCAGTTCCGGGGAAAAACCACTGTTGGTGGCATCCCGGTGGCATCCCCGGGTGTCCCCAACAACTTTTCCAAGTTTGGACTTGGCGGCGTTGCAAACTTGTAACCTGAGCCGAGTCCCGTGAGCTCCGTGAGTCCCGGACCGGCCTCCCGGACCGGCCAGTGCGTACCATTCCCATGACGGATCCATGGTGCTGGTAGAAAAATGCTAAGATCAAGGGGGTATATTGATGGGATCCATGTTACCATAGATATATAGATATAGATATAGATATATATATATAGCATACATGGATCCTATGGCCAAGAAAAACCATGAAGGAAACACCCCCATGAAAAATATGAAAATGCAGGGAGGGCCCCGACCTACCCGAACGCAACGAAGTTGCAATTTTGGGCAACTGAGAAGAGAACACCAAGAAAAACATACGACTACCCTCCGATACTCGAACATGGCTACGGAAAAAGGCCCGTTTACTTTGATGATCTACCGCTTTTCAAAACGGTGATTGTCCATAGCAAACAGCTAAATGACCACCAGCTTCTGGGGACATCGTGGAGGATCCTGTTTGAAGGCTGGCGCGATTGAAAATCCAGCGGCACCCAAGCATAGAACAGTCATCAATAATCCATTCACCCTATGCTTAAAAAAACTCCCTTAGAAACCTTGTTTTAGTAATATGGATCTATTCATTTTGGGGTACCATATTGACGGTATTTAATTAGTGGGGTGGGATTAATCTTAGGACTGGACTCTTAAACAGAGGTTGATTCCAACTATCTCCCAAAATCTCATGGTTTTTTGAATCACAACGAGAGCCCAGAAAGCCATGTTGGGACATGATTACCCATGGCCCATAGTTGCTTCACATCCCCATCGTTGGCATCCGCTGCTCAGTAGCTGTAGCGCACAGCAGAAGGAGCAGCCAAGCCTGAAAAAAGTAGCAGCTCATCGTGTTTTTTCATGGGATTTACCAGGGATATCATGGGGTAGCAGCAAGAATGGTGGGATATCAAGCATGGCTAGTCAAAAACAAAAAAACATAAATGGGCATTCGAAAATTATCGAACTAAATGGGATACTTTATATAAATTCCCAGGAAGCCATGTTTGATGAATGTACAGTGTACTGTATATATGCATATATATATATATGTAGATTCATAGATGTATAGTCTTATATGTAGGTACATTTAGAGTGTATAGTTGTCAACCGAAAGGCGGGACTTTTCACCGACCAATAGGGATACAGGACCTCCGGAGTATAATCCTCGGTGAAAAATATTTACGTGCCAACATCACAGGGATCATCAAAACATAACCTCCAACAACCATCCTTTCTGGTTGATAAAAATAAAACATTGACCAATGTCCTTGCGTCCGACGCAATCCAATTTTGGAGGCGTGCGTGCCGTTATGTGCCGTCTGCTCAAAGTCAGTCCACATGATAGTCATGGAGGTATGGTCATTCCTCTCACAATCGGAATCATTACGATAGCAAAACATCAAACACTCATAGATTGATGACCGTCCTTCAACAGCATTTTATCCAAGGTTGGACCATGGCACATCTTGTATATTATGGCATATGAATGAGACATAATTGTCGTTCGGGGAAAAAACACACTCATCTAGATGGACGTGATTTAATAAATATGTTAAATCATCACCATCCTTCCTAGAAACCCAACCCAAGCTACAAATGTTACATCAGTTACATGACAAAGACTTCAACGACTTGGCAATTGGATCTTCAGAATCGATGGTTTCCTGAAAGCCAGGGCTTCTTCTCATGGTTAGCCTCTGGTAAACATACATAGATAGCTATTGAAAATGACTATAGAAATAGTGGATGACTACCCATGAATAGCATGGTGATTTTCCATAGTTATGTTAGTTTACCTAATAGCATGGTGAATATTTCCATAGTTATGTGGCTACGTTTACCAGAGGCTACCAATGTTGACCATGATCTACTGCACCTCATCATCCAGAATGTTACCGAATGGACCCTAACTTCGCATCATTTCCCAGTCTGTTGAGACAGTCTCCCACGCCTAGCAGCGACTGGCATGGCTGCCTCCATGAAACAGGATGAAGAAACTGTTGTGTTCAAGTTGGAGGTCAAACTTTGAACTTCATGAGAAGATAACAACACATGAATGAGTTGTTGATGTTTGGCTTGTAGTTTTTACATTTTGTTCAATCATGTTCCATCACATATAGATACATATAGGGGGTTCAACCGAAAAATTATTTCGCTGAAAGCAATCTTCTTTCCTAGGAAGAATGAAACATTCTGGAAACAAACATCCCGCTGGAACAACCTGGCGATCGACGGAGATGCAATCTCCAAAAAAGTAATCCCATAGCCCAATCCGATAAAAAGAACATCCCCATTCTATGTGTCCAAATTTCTAGGCAAATTATAATAATTCACTATTTTGAGGATGATTCTCTTTACTAATGACCATTCCAGGGTTCGCAGTGAGGTCGTGATGAATATTTACCCAGAAACATATGGAAATCCATGGAAATCCATGGAAATCCCCCACAGAAACACCGTGATCGCAAGGGAATCAGGACATTTGCCGAGGGCGTTCTTCCGAAGTCACACTTTTCGTTGTTGATCCAAGGTTGTGTTGGCTTTTCTCCCAACATCTTGTTCAATGATTCCACTTCTCCATTGGAAACATTCATAGTTGGTTCTACATCCCAAGTCTAACCATTTTCACCATAGATTCTCAAAACCCAATGGTGATTCTCGGAAACAAAAGGATGAACAAAGCTTGGCATCCACGACGTTCCGCCTCACTGTTTGACCAATAACTCGCCGCGGGAAGCATAGCCTGACATAGACCAGTGGTGGACATGGTGCCCCATCTGGTCTTGGATATCCACAAACAAAACAGAAACAACACTGTAGTTTTACGCTGGGTGTGGCAAAAAAACATATCAACCTATCAAACCCCAGATTCATCCAAAAAGGAATCAAGAAGTCAAGGAAATAGAGTCAACAAGTTTGAGCCATACGCATGTCATGCATATTCTTGTCTATACCCCATGACCCATGATCTCCTATATCATTACATACAGTTCATATATAGTTGTTAGTTACATCCTCATATAATATGTATATATATATATATGTATAAATATATTTATATATTTGTATATAATTATATATATGTATATATAATTATATATATATTGTTCCCATACAGTTGGTCTTAGCAACATTGTGACAACGTATGCTCTTTAAACACAAAACAACCAGCCTTTCGATTCCAGGATGACCACGGCAACTTTTCAACCGCTCAGGCCGCTGTCTCCACTGGACGGGTCTGGCAAATAAAACGATGCACTTGTTGGTGGTTTTTCGCCATCCCCCAAAAGATGTTTTGCTGGGGATCATCAGCCATCAGCCATCAGGCACAAAAAAGACACCAACTGACATCCTGAACGAGTCCACTAGGTGATCTGCCCCTTTTGTTTTTGCTAAGAGGCATATATAATCTGCATATGGTTGATTCTTCCTTTTGCAAGGTAAGATTACTATGAAACCACCAAGCACTTCGGATGCTCGAGGACTTGAATCTCCTCAAGGACATGCATGGAACTTAAGGGCTATGCCGCTATGCCGGCCACATATCGTGGCTGGCTGTGCCAGGGTGTGAGTTTAGCAAATGATAGCGGATAAAGGCATAGATCAAGGCTTCATTGATATTCTGGATTTGTCCAATGGTTGGATATACAATGATATACCCTTGGGTTGGAGGGGATCCCAATCCCCATATCTGGACAAATCCATGCGTTCTGATTCTGATGTTTTTGTAAACCATGTTTGGGTGTCTTAGCTAAACAGCTAAACTCACGCATCTGGGCTTTGTTCCCTCAAGGACTCAAGGGCTCTCTTGCTGCACGAGTAGCAAGACAAAATCTGGCTGGAGCAGGGGCAAAAGTTGCGGGTTGGTGACATCACCCCATCGCGAAAAAAATAGTCAAACATAGACTACTACTCATGTGTAGATGATTGCCTATCAAACCAAACATAACAATTTTCCATGGGTATGATAGACCGGAGTGTAAGGATAACAAACACAAACACACACAATCACATATGTATATATATATAAATATTGATATGTTAAAAACCATATTCATATAATATTATGTATTACATCTTTATATATATATACACATATTAATCATATTACAAGGAAACGTCCCATGGTAATGTTGTCTGAGCCAACGAAACAATAATTCTGTCAACAATCTAGGAATGCAATGCTTGTTGATGGGTGCTACCCAGTTTGATTGGATGCATCAGTGTTCTCCCTCTTATTTGCCCACAGATTGCTTTGGATTCTGGATGTCATGTCTATAACTATCATCTGCCGCATGCTGTACATCTCCAATCCAGGTCAAAAATTCATCGTGCAATCCGGATCTATACTATAAGCAGTGAATTTCTGTGCGTGTGTTTCGAAGTGGTGCTGGACCTGAGTGGCGCTCGACCCGGGCGGTTTTTGGCCGGGTGAGGGCACGGCCGCAAAAAGCATCCCGAAAATATCATGCATGGGATCATGCCAGTTTTCAAGATTGACCAAAAAATCATTAAAAAACCCTTTCTATATCTATCTATATTGTTTTATTTTTAATTATTTTTATAAGGCATATTTCATCGGTCACAACATGTCACAACCCAATGGAAAAAAAACATGTAGCCGACCATCATCCCAGTCGCAGGTCCCTCCAAACTCCACTTCAAACTCCACGTGAAGTGACAAGCCTGGTGACAGAGCGAGGATACATATCTACCACTATTCTATCACTATCTTCCAGCCATCAATCCATCCATCCATCAATATCTTGTCTTATCTTGTCTTGTAATATAAGACAAGATAAGATAAGATAATGGATGGGTGGATGGAAGGAAGGAAGGATGGATGGATGGATGGATGCATGGATGGATGGATGGATGGAAGGAAGGATGGTTGGATGGATGGATGGATGCATGGATGGATGGATGGATGGATGGATGGAGGAATATAACGATCTACACATCTATCTACCCATCTTCCTATCGCCAACCTATCTAATCTATGTATTTATCTATTTCCGTATCTAGATATAAACCGATCTACCTATCTACCGAATCTATCTACCTAGCTATCTACTTATCTATCTATCTATCTATCTACCTATCTATATACCTGGAACGCGCATGACACGCGTCTTGAAGGCTTAGACAAGTGGAGCTGAACCATCCAAAAGGTCCTTTGGGTTTCAGCTGTGTATATATATATATGTATCGTATGACAGATACACTCTGATGCATTTCCTCGCACACACATTACACTGATTTCATTTACATTACACTGATATACACTAGTCACTAGTCACATGTACGTTTACAGTTGCACTCACATGTGCATTCCTTACTCAGTGTAATTGACACGCTAGGGTATGTATGTTTTAATCAAGTTGCAAGGATAATATGGCGAAATAGCAACGAACCCCAAACATGAATATGGCGAATAAGGATGTTTCTGAAAGTGTGGGCTCTTCTCCTAACATGTGGACCGAGTTTCTCTACAGCAAAATACGGTCTTTTCTTGAATGAATACTGTGGTCCCTTACGTGGTAAGAAGTCACCATGTTGTATGGCAAAAGACTGGATGATTGGAGGAATGGTGCGTCTTCAAGCTACAACCAACATCAATCAAAATAGAGTTTTCTCATATATGGGCAACCCCAAACAGAGGGTTTTTGTTGTTGCAGAAACCACCCACAATTTGGGGATCCTTGGGTTATATATGGTTATATTGTGCTGCAGAGTTTTGAGAAAGCATCAACTTGGGATCGGCTCAAAGATTACCCGCGACTCGTAAATCACCATCTGACATGTTCATATTCACCATGTCGATTTGAATCATGTACTGACTGTATTGACACTAAACCACATCACCAGCAAATCTGTTAGTTTCTTGCAGTTTCCAGGTCATTTCTTTCTGATTTCAAATTGATCTAGCGGACCAGTCTCATCCAATTCCCGGATAGTTGATGGAATATCTATAATAATTAAACAGATAGATAGATAGATAGATAGATAGATTAATGTTTGATAATTAATGAATAATGATTAATGATTAATGTGCTATATATATATGCATTATATACACTTTCACACCATGCATGCGTATATATTTAAACTATACATTACACTATAGGTATCTATATGTGAATAATGCATATGGGGATTGAACTAAGTTATCAAATTCGGAAACTATACACTTATGATAACTTAAATGTGTACATGCATATTATGTGCTTACCGCTATTCACAGAAAAAAAACACAATTATATTGTAAACTATTATGAACTTGTGTATATCTTATGCCATCTAGAAAAACATTGTATCATATTGTAGCCATAAACATCTCACTTTGTAAGATGTTATGCGTTCCCTCATTTCATCTCCCACACCACAACTTACCATCTGCGCACCTGAATCTATACATTCACTTTACTGGTGAGTGACCTGCACCGCCGTGCACTGGAACAAAACGGGTGTGGATGTAGATTATCAATCTATTTATGATGACAAAATATTGTCATTATTTATTCTAACAATCCATTCTAATCAATTTAGATCATCAATTGTGGTAAACCCTATTTAATACATAGCAATGTTTCACTTACCACACTATTTTAGAAGGAATTAATTTTGCTTTAGCATATCTATCTTGTTGGGTGTTGTTACACCGAGTATGCAAACATCAACAGTTCCAATCCAACCAACTATGTAAATTGATGATGACGTTGGGAAAATCTACAGCAAACCATGGGGAAAGTGTGCCTTTAAATACACAGGTTTCCTGCATTCGTGGGAGTCTTTCAGTGCAGTGGTCGGCGACAAGAACTTAGTAACTGATGCCACAGGATTTGCACGACTACACCTTGACTTCTCCTGAAGTAGATGGGAAACGAAATTTGACCAACCCCAGTAGATAAAAGCATCCAGCTATGGAGGTACCCCCATTGATGGAAAGCCTCATCTTGAAATTGGGA